TTTCATCACTGCTGGCAAATGCAAATAGTTTTAGGTCCATGGCCAATCTAGCAAAGCAGGCATCAACATGTGCTGAAGCCAGAGGACCTGAGATCTGGAACAGAAAACTCCCCCTCTACTCTTCTTGAGACTTAAATGAGATGTAACATAAAAGCATGCTTAGCCTAAATGCTTGTCAACTTGTTGTGATGGTTGGTTCCATATTTTCTTGCAGTTTCTTCCATTTCCTTTAGGATTTTGTCTGAGATCAGCACTATTGATTAGAATCAAATTTGTGATGTGTTTCCTCTCTGAAGCTTGAAAGAGTCTCCTTTTCTCTCCACTCGTTGGTTCCCTTTTCACTAAAAGTCTGTGTTGTTAGCAGTACAAGTATCTGCAGCATTTGGTCTGTGTAGATGATCCTGCAGTCTTGATGGAGTTGATGCAAGTACTAGATTCCAGCTTTCTTTTGTGTTGGACTGTGTTGAATGTATTAGATGATTTATATAATGGTGTGTATTTTTATTTGAAGTGGAATCGCATGAGAGTAGAACAACAAACCTGTAATTATGTAAGAGTAGCAAATGTCTGTTAACCATAGTAACTGACATTTGATACCATCAGCAACGTTGTTTTTCACGCCAAACTGTTGATCGTTCTAGTTTTCAAGACACCCAGAGACAATCAAATCCCCCAAATATTAGCTGAAATGCTTTAAGCTGCATCCATATTGGAAGCAGTTCACAGCAACCAGAGGCCACACAACGTAAATGACATTCTGTGACTACAGGCAAAATAACAAAATAACCACTGGAGATACGTTTCTCCAGGCAAGTGGTTGACGCAGTTATCAGTGCGAGAGCAGGATCCTGTTGTTTGACATATGACTAGGCAGTAAATAAATTAGATGGTTACCCAGGCAACCCGTACCTGGAACATTAAGGGAACAGGTGTCAGCTTCAAAGTGAGTGTGGTGCTTCAGCAGCAAAGACGACACAATGGATTCCTTTTTGCTGGCATGTGTGAATCTGAGGTCAGTTTCTAATGGTTCAACTGAATTCAAATGAACTCTTAGGACTAGATTGACTGTGAATGTTCTGACCTACAATCACTAAAGATTTTAGAAGTTTCTGCAACTGATCCTCTTTATGATGGACCTACACATTATGTACACACATCCTCAGATAAT